TGTTTTAACTCTCGTATTCTGAACATGTTTTGTATAAATTAAGATAAGACGAATCAAATAAAAAGGTCAATTTGTCATTGCACTTAAAATAGTTTAAATTTATTACTAAACTTTCTGAAATAATTCAAATTTAATCACTATTTTCCTCCGTCATTATAGTTAATTTAATTTTGGAGGATTAAAACACGATTATTGAGTGATCTTATATATAGTTCAAGAATAATTTGACTTTACATGTAGCCAAGTAGGGACAAAATTAATATGTTTATGAATTTTTTAAATTGGGACAAAGGCAATATCTTCCTTGTTATATCTAGCAATTACTATTCTAATTGGGTTGTGGGAAGGGATGGGTATGGTATGGTATGGTATGACAGAATTTGAAACTTTGTTATAGTAATTTCATTTTCGATTTCTAAATTATTATATCATTATTATATAATTTGATTTGGTATAGTTCGATATTTTGAAGTTTGATTTCGAAATTTTTACGATATGGTAAATCGGTAACATAGTTTGTTTAACTTCGACCAATATATACTTGTATAATAGAGTATTATGACTTCAACAATTCACAAAAGGTTTCAATTATATCATACTAACACATTGTACATGTAAAAATATATTTATTAAAAAAAGTACAAAGAACTCCTTTTGTTAATCAATTACATTTCGATAAAAATAGAGTAGTCACAACTTCAACTTTTAAACATTTGTTTTATACTATTACTAGGTTGCATATTTGTTTGTATTTAATAATATATATATATATATATATATATATATATATATATATATATATATATATATATATATATATATATTTATTTATTTTTTATTTTTTTATTTTTTTATTTTTTAAATAACTCCATTGATCATTGATGTGCAAAAACTTACAATTTGAGTTTGGCATACCAAACTTTGTACATGATCATTGAGGGGAGTTCACTAAGCTATACTTAGTCAAAACCTTTGGGGGATCGTAAATGATATGGGATGGTTTGTTCATTTTGAACCTAAAAGAGTGAATATCCCATTTGTCCATATTGACTAGCCCCTTTACTTGATTGGAAAGCTCAGTACGAGAGTAGAAGACATGATTGACTCAAAATATGGCTCATGCTTGCCAATTTATCAGCTGGTCTATTGGCTTCTCGAAAACAATGCTTGATTTCAAATCCATGCTTTTCAACTAACTCTTGAATTTCATTGATGATGTGTAGAATCCTCCAAGGCACTTTCCATTCCCTTCTGACGCATTTGATAATGAGGAGAGAGTCGGTTTCTCCAATGATCACACTATGTCCATTATTTACACACCATTTTATGCCAAACAACATTGAAGCTGCTTTTGCCATGTTGGATGTTCCTGGTCCAGATGTATTGAGTAAGCACAAACAATTCTTCCTTCATTGTCTCTGACCACTCCCCCTCCTCCACATATACCACGTAAACAACTTCCATCACTATTTAACTTAACAATGTGGGGGGAGGGGGGGGGGGGGAGGTTTGTTCCATTTGATAGCTCTGAAACTCTTTGCTCAATGTTTGCTTCACAAGCATTGCAGATTGCACTCCATTCCTCTCCTAAGTTGGCTCTTCTAAACTTCATTTTTAGAACTTGCCCAAGAGTATTTAGAACATTAGTCTTGGTCCTATAGAAGGATACCCTCAAGTTTTCAAACTTTCTACTACATCTTGCTTTCCATAGCTCCCACACTATGATTAAAGGAATAATTTTGGTTATATAGGTAGCAAAAATGTTGTGGGACTTGTAGTTCCACCAATTAAGTAACATCATCTTGTAGCTCCTGCTGGTGATATATATATATATATATATATATATATATATATATATATTATTTATATAACTATATATTTTAGTATGATATTCGATATTCCGGTATGTTATCTCTAAATACCAACTATCGTATCAAATACAAAAAATTAAAATGTATACGTTATACATACCAAAATCACAATATCAAAAATTTTGATATAGTATGATAATTCGGTATATATCATATACCATGCGCACAAAAAATTGTGGGACCACTCAATGAATATTCATTGTCCCAAATCTCAATCGAATGAACGTTGACGCAATAATTGGATTCAATTTACACCTAATAAATAATATTGATTTTATTCTAAGAATATGTCATCTAACAAATTAATGTTATATTTTAATCTTTTTAGTCATCTTATTGAATTATAAATCAAAAAAAATAGGACGAAAACAAATTCCCTATTTTTAATGTAAATCAAAATCTCCTCTTGATACTCATTTAAGTGCACTTTTCATTTTAATTTATTTGACACTTTTCATTTTTTGAAATTTAAATTGTATATAATTTGATTAATATTTTAAAATATATTTATTTAACATATCAATTATATTTTCTAATATATTTTTCTTTAATAGCTTTTGAATATTTATGTTTTAATATTTTAAAACATAAATATTAGTACTATTTTTTAAACTTTCAAGTTCAAGGCATCAAAAGGAAATTACACGTGATTAGGTTCTGAATGAGCTGTACTTGGATAGCGGAATCATCAAATCTTATTTTTATTATAATAAATGCTAATGTCAAATGATTAAATCCAAATAGAAGAAGAAAAAAGAAAGGTAATTATTCCCCAAATCTCTATCATGAATCAAGTATAAAAATCAAATTCTGACTTTCTTGAGTATGTCTGGGAATAATTTTTAACAATTAAATCTTCTCTTGATTTCCTTTTTGTTTTTAATTTCTCACGAATTCAATTATTTATAATAGGGAAAAGGGTCAAAATGCCCTTAAATTACACGAAAGGAACAAAAATATCCTCCGTTTATAGTTTGGCTCAACAATGCTCTTGCCATCAATATTTTGTCCAATAATGCTCTTATTATTATTATTTACTAGGTCAAAAATGTTCATTTTCCAAATAAATATATTATTTATTTTCTTTTTAACATATTATTTTTCTAATAATTTTTTTAAAAAAGTAGCAAATGTTTATCTTACTTCAATTCAGAAAAAAAAATGAAAAATGAAAAAATTTCTTATTTTATTATAATTAATTTTTATCGTTATATAAATATAATTTAATGATGGATATACTATAATCTTATATATATGACATATATTATTTGTCGAAAGAGTACATGAAGTTATTGTATTTTAATTATGAGATTAAGAACAAAAAAAATATTTCCTACATTTTTATTAGTTAAATTGATTTTAAAAGAAAGAAAACAAGAATAGTGTTTTTTTAATAATTGATATTTTAATTAGGAAGAAGATGTGTTTAAAAAGAAAAAAATAATATATTTATTTGAAAAAAAGGCATTTTGACCCATTTTGTAACTATAAGGGCTTTGCGAGATTAAAATATTGACCGCAAGAGTATTTTTGAACTAAATTATTGACGGCAAGGTTATTTTTAAGCCAAACTATGTGAGTTCGGAACCGAAATAAGCCACAAAAACATAAAAGTGACCAAAATAAGCCACTACTTTAGTAAGTAACTAAAATAAGCTTAGTGGAAGAAAAAATTCCACTTTATCTAATATTCTAAATGTTTTTCGTTAGTCTCGTAATGTGTATATTTTAATATATAATGGAACTATTTCCTACACTTTATAAAATGGAACTATTTCTTACACTTTATAAAGTGTAAGTTTTTCTTACACTTTGTAAGGTGAAACTTTTTCTTACGCTTAATAAAGTGGAAGAAAATTTTACACTTCATAAAAAGTGACTTTACCTTTTCACTTTCTTCTTCTCCCCTTTCACTTTCATGGCTTCCAAACTTTTTTCACTTTGAAGATTAACAATTGATGGTCCCAATCCGACAACTGAAGCGGCCCTACACTAAAAAATCAAAATCTTGAAAAATTGGAGTAGCACAACCTGACAACATAACAATCCGACCCTACAAATTATATAAATTAGGTATTTTTTTCCGTCTCATATTTTCATTACTTTAAAATGATGTTGTAATTTGTTCAAAATTTCAGCAAGTCTTATATAATGTGCATTCAACTACTAAATATTAAGTTAGAAAAAAAGTCTTTAATTCGAAATAAACAAATGGAATTACACTGTTGGATTGGTATTGCAAAATAGTATTTGGCTACTGCTGAATTACACCTTTTCATCTCATGTTTTTTTTATTCTAGATGGACACTCGTATTCATTTGTTCTTGCTGGCATGTATTAACTTTACCATGTGCAATGTGCCCAAACTACCATTTAGATCCCATCAAAGTACAAAAAATAAATAATAGTAGAGTATTATTTTTATGCACATAAACTGTGTCCAGATCCTTGTAAAAATTGACCATAAATTGAGATTGCATAAATGGTTATATTCTTGTTAATTCAGTTGGTTACATTTGTCCGCAAAACTGAACACAAAATTCATCAAACATATAGTCATCCCTCAATTGTTCCAATAGATGGTTCCATCTGTTTCTCTTTAGGTATACGTTCCTTTTATTATTTTTTTCTATTTTATTTTCTTGTGGTTGACTCGACAAATAACACATTGAATTGACTTGCTGAAGTTAGAGATTCTTTAGTTCTCGTACAATTATTTGTTTGAAGATAGTTCACAGTTTAATTTGTCAAGAAATAATTATATTAAATGAATTAATAGAATTTTTCTTACATAATATAATGGAGCGTGTTGTGAATCTTGGATCGATTGATCGTACACTTCTTCTCTCTCAGCATGAACATAAATCAGAATTGTTATGAAAAGGTGAGATATCATTTAGTAGCCTTATGAGGACGGTGCGCATGAATGATGCCTGAAATTTATTTCGTTTGCATCGACCTCATGGACGTGTTGATGAGATTTTACGTAGGTCAGGATTGTATGATGTAGTTTGTGTGGGCAGGATGCAGTATGACCGTGCCCTTGTAACAGCTATGATTGAGCGTTGAAGGCCAGAGTCTCATTGCTTCCACTTACCTTTTGGTGAGGTCACAATTACATTACAGGATATGCAGGTCTTGTTTGGTTTGCGCATCGATGATGATGTTGTGTACATGCAGGATGCTGCACGGAGGATTCGTCCATGGCGTACTTTATTAGAGACACTCACAGGATGCGCCATAGCACCTGCTAATATGGATGGTGCGAGCCGAGTGAGGATACATACCATTACTGGCTACCTGCGAGATCAGTTACAAGTAGATCCGATAGGAGATGCTACTCCAGTGGAGCGGGTTGAGAAAATTTCTAGACTTTACATGCTTGTTATATTGGGGGGCATCTTATTTTCGAACACGTCGGGGAACCTTATTAGCTTACAATACTTGGTGTTCCTAGATCCCATCCACGACGTAGGTAAGTACAGTTGGGGCAGTGCAGTGTTGGCCTACTTGTACCGTGCACTTTGTCGGACATCTATCGATAATGTGATTGACATTTGCGGATTTATTCCTCTCCTTCAGGTAACTTTACTAAAGTTTTAAAATACATTCAAATACAAATAATCTTTTAACATTACACTGCACAAGAATATTTTTTCTATATGCAATTTTTAAAAATATTTAAATTACATACAAATAATTTCTAAAAATTATTAAAAATAGATATATGTAATTGTTAATTTTTTTTTGTGAATGATGATAGTTTAATTATTTTGTTTGTCAAATTAAGGTTTGGTGTTGGGAGAGGATCTTGCATGTACAACCATCAGCTCATCTGCCGCATGATGGTGACGTGTTACTTCCATATGCTAGGCGATTGACGCATGAAATTGATAGGGATACTGAGTCACATCATGTTCTTATCCCGATTAGAGACCAGCTAGACTGTATGACGAAGGATTAGGTACATCAAATAATTTTTGCAACTCTTTACTAGTTTTTTTAAAAAATATATACATTACATATAAAAGTAAAGTATATAAAAGTAAATCAATAATATTTTTTTTTATATACTAATCGGTTAATGTTGATTTTATCTAATTGTTATATTTTAAAAATAGTTTCGATGGACATCGTATAATGAGATTTTACATACACTGCCTCGTTGTTGTACGGTCGATGAGCCTTTATGGATGGCATGCGTGCCTATGCTTTGCCTAGAGATTGTTAAGGTGCACACACCTGATAGAGTGATGCGTTAGTTTGGTCATTCCCAACATGTACTTGCGATTCCTAGTTGGGGAACCAACCACCATGTGATGATCAGCGTAGGAGGCTTAGATCAGAGGTTCTTGAAATATTGGATAAATATTTTCGTGATTGGGGTAATCGACATCAAAGTTTAGTAGTTGAGGTAGATGATGGTACTAGCAGGGCAGGGTATACATTGTGGTACCTTGCGGTATAAATTGTGGTACATGTGTTTCGTCGATCAATATAACAGGACGACAAAACACAAACCCATCAATGCATGGCTTAAAAGTCCAGAACATAGTTGAATACATCTTCAATGACATCGAGACTCCGCTCTGTTTTACATTCAACTATTGTTTCGGAATTAAAGTGTTTTAAAGCTTCCATGAACCTCGGCAACTCGACAAAAGAACCCTCCCAAGTACCATAGACTTTTTTAAAAGCACACTTGCTGTCAAGATAGGCTTTTCTTCTGCTTATTGAAATGCCATATGCTTTAAGACCGGCTGTTTGACAGTCTTTGATGGGAAACCTAAAAAGTAAAAATAATATTAATTATCAAATAAAAAATGAATATTTTCTTATTAAAGAAAAATCATCTAAGGATAAAATAGTACCTTGGCGTTTTTTCTATATCAACACGGAGGACGTTAGCAATCATCTCAACATCCAAGTTGAAATGTCCATCGCGGCACGTACCCATATCACATGTATGTTCTTTAATGTATCTTTCAACTTTCCATATGTTAGTATGTTTATCATTAAAAGAAGTTAGGCTAAATCGACATCCTTGTTCTACACACCTGCAAACAAGTCGCCATGATTTTTTTTCCGATTTAATAACAAAGTACTCCCTCACTATCTTTAAATGTAGAAGCTTAACTGCTCTTTGCAACTACTTCTTTGAATTGAATAACATGCCTTTTTCAATATAAATAACATCATTCATGAAATCTTTCGGTTCATGCCACGTACATTGTGATGTATATTCATCATGTGTATCGCCAAAGATATCTGGACCATATGGGAGATGATCAAGATAAAGAATTTCATGATTACGAAACGAACTCATGGACATTGGTCTTGGCGACTGATTGGGCATTAAAAAATCATCATCACTAGATGATGTCTCAAATGGAACATTATCTTCTGATTCCTCGACATTAGGCAAATCATCACTATCACTAGCTGAAGGTGAGCCGTAATTTGGAAGGTCACGATCATCGATATTCACAGGATCAATGGGCTCATCTTGTGTGATATTTTCCCTATATATGTAAAAAAGTATAAATATTTATCTTATGCAATTAACTTACTTAAATAAAATATCAAGTGTTGGACTTACCGATAATCATTTGCATCAAAAGTAGGCGAGACATGAAAATTTGAGGATGTCCCAACATTTTCCGTCATTTCAAAGTGTGAGGACTGACCAAAATAATTATCTAGTCCATAATTTGGAGCAATATTCCTATCTTGATGAGGTAAACCGCTACAAAATATATAATAATAAGAATAATAAATCATATAAATTAATAAATAATTGACAAAATCAACAAATAATAATCAAAATATAATTATTGAGCATTACCAGTCACTTTCATTGATAGTTTCGTTCAAATCAAAATCATATCGACCGGTAAGAATATTTTGATAATGAGTCATGTTAGAAAAATCAGTAGATTAAGTTATCGAAAATCCATCAACGCTATTACGATTTTCTAATCGGGGATGAACATCAACCGATAAAGGAGAACGTTGTTGACTAGTCTTAGGCTCCTTCCTAACATAGATTTCAAGTATTGTTAACTTGATTTGATCTATGTAGTCATTTGGAACCCTCAAAAAGTCGGTCAACGATTCGTCATTATAGATAATCCACTCTCCAAAATTTACTTGTCCTTGTGATAAAAATGAAGTAGGGTATTTTCCAACTATAATCAAATTATAATCAGTGATGTTTATACCCATTCTTTTATAAATTGATGAAAGAAATTTATGATTTCGGACAATAATTGAATATTTACCATTGTGTTTGGGAGGACAATTATAATAAATGGTATTTCCGTCATGTATAATTTCGTCATTCCAATAAATGAAAACTCTAACTTTTGGTTTAGAAGACATTTTATTTTTGAGATTGAAATGAACAAATATAGAAGACTTTATGTTGTAGGTGCTATCAACTATATTTGAATGTCCTTAAATAGAGATTGGAGGATTTTTCAGAATAAAAATATAAAAATGCATAATGTAATAATTTTTTTCGTTTTTATGATATGTCAAATTAATGTACTTTTGTATGACAAACATTGCAAAAGCTTCATAAATTGATAAAAACGTGAAAAATATTCTTCTTTGTAAAACAAAATTTTTTCTTCCACTTTATAAAGTGTAAGAAAAAGTCCACTTTACAAAGTATAAGAAAAACTTACACTTCATAAAGTGTAAGAAATAGTTTCGTTATATAGTAAAATATACACGTTATGAGACTAACGGAAAACGTTTAGAATATTATATAAAGTGGATTTTTTTCTTCCACTAAGCCTATTTAAGTTACTTACTAAAATAGTCGCTTATTTTGGTCACTTTTATGTTTTTGTGGCTTATTTAGGTTCCGAATTCACTATAAATGGAGGGCATTTTTGTTCATTTCACATAGTTTAAGGGCATTTTTTACCCTTTTCCCCTTATAATATAATTTTGGTTGATCAATATTACTCTCTATGTCCCAATTTACATGACTTACTTTCCTTTTTAGTCAGTTCCAAAGAGTGACACATTTTTATATTAAGTAACAATTTATCTTTAAAATATCCATTTTACCCTTAATAAAATAATTTATAGCCACACAAATTTCTATCATTCATTTTAGACCACAAGTTTTAAAAATCTTCTTTTTTTCTTAAATTTTGTGTTAAATCAAACTACGTTACATAAAATGGGACAGAGGAAGCATAATTTAGCTATAAAAACAAAAGGAGTTTAAAGCACGATGAATATTTCAAAGATTCTTAATTGAATTTTTTTCTTAAAAATGATCTTTGAAATATCACAATTCATAATTTGAGGCGAAATGTGGAGATTAATTATGAATTTAGCTTGGTCTAGTAATTTTAGCTCAAATAACACACATGTGCGTATATTATATAGAGAGAAATTTACAAAATAAGTATAAGATGAATGAAGTAAATTGCTTGAAGAACTATAGTGTTAGGCATGTAGTAAATTGTTCGTATCCACAATTTAGTGTCTCTCCCTCACGGATATTCTCCACAGGGGGAGAACTCAGTTTGCCGCCTGAATCAATCCCTTTATGGACTTAAACAAGCGTCCCGAAATGGGTTTGCCAAATTTGCTTCTGTGGATGCTGGTTTAGAAATTAAGTCATTGGCCTTTGTCATGTGTGTCTTTCAATCTGGACGGTGACTTCTTTCTAGTTCTCCAATCCTAGTCTGGATTTTTCCGCGTAAGGAGTTTTATTCCAGATCGGATTCATTCTAAATTTGAAATCACCGACAAAGCATCTGCGATCGGACAATTGTGTAAATATACCCCGCGATATACTTTCATCATGCACAAAAATTCTCATCACTCTGTTTTCCCATTTCTTCCCCTGTTTCATCAGCATTGTAATCCTCTGTTTGATCTCTTCAAGATTTTACGATTCATCATCTTCTTGTTGAGCTCAGTAGAATCATCATCTTAAATGAAGGGTCGCTTTCAATTTGAATCCATTATGCTTCTTTCAGTTGAAGCAGACGATGAATTTGAATTCAATCTGATCGTCCTTCTTCTTCGTCTTTTTCTTCTTGTCGTTGTTGTTGTTGTTGTTCTTGTTCTGCTGCTTTTGGGCTATTTTCTTCTTCTAAATCATCAGCATTGTTATCATGAAGGGGTAAATGATCATCAGGAGAATCGATTGAATAAGACGAGCGATTCTACTACTTAAGATGCAAGAAACGAGATTGAAATAGTTCAGACATGTAATGAGGAGATACACGATTACCCTAATGCGGAAATATGAGAGGTTGGTTATAGATCAAATTTGAGTACAAAAATGGTAAATTAACACAATAATCATATCAAAACAAATTTATTTGTTCTAATTATATATTTCTTCTTTCATAAATTTCATATAATCATATAAAGTTACTTTACATTCTGAATCCGTCTATAATTAGTAACGCTTCACTTCCTCATGTTCCATACATGATATTACCATACCTTACAAACAATTAACTACAAGAAATTAAACTACAACAAAATATATCATAATTACCAAATAATGAACTTGACTTGTACAAATTGTTGCATGATAATTTTCCCATGAAGAAATTGACTTCGTAGAAATAAAAGATCATTTTCTTGATCGTCATAAGAGATCATTTTATTGTACTTGTACCAAACTTCGAGAAAAATCACATACACCACCTTGTTAAAATGGATCGGACCACTACTGCAACCACTACTACTATATTCCCGCGATATATGGTGACGCCACTCTAGTGGGGCCACCACTACCAGGTTGGTTAGGGTTCGAATCTGAAAAAAGGCTTTGATTGTCTGGCTTCTTGCCTATGCAAAAGCAAAGAGATATTGATATTGATATCAAAAGAAGCAAAGTAACAATTAAATATACTATTATACGAACATCCATTTTTCTATAGCTATTACAATAATTATCAACTTTAAATTGTCTCTAAACTT